GATTGACTGATTTGTGGGGTTTAACGTCCCAAAACCACCATATGATTATGAGAGACGCCGTAGTAGAGGGCTCCGGAAATTTCGACCACCTGGGGTTCTTTAACGTGCACCCAAATCTGAGCACACAGGCCTACAACATTTCCGCCTCCATCGGAAAAGCAGCCGGCGCAGCCGGGATTCGAACCCGCGACCTGCGGGTCAGCAGCCGAGTACCTTAGCCACTAGACCACCGCGGCGGGGCGAGATAATTATACTAGGAGACATGAATGCGCACATAGAAGATATAGATGGGTATACCGACCCGACAGGCAAAATGATCATGGATATGTGTGAAAGGCTTGATTTGATCATTTGCAAAAGTACCGAGAAGTGTGAAGGGCAAATAACATGGGAGGTAGGAAGGCTGCAGTCGACGATAGATTATGCACTGATGTCACAAAGGATGTATGATAAGCTCAGGGGAATGCACATAGATGAAGGTGGCTCCAGAAGTCTGGGTAGTGATCACAAACGTATCACGCTAAGTTTTGGAAGAGCAGTGAAAGTGGGAAGGAGACAAGATGAGCAACTACAGGAAAACTTTTATCCAGAAACGCAAATTGAAATAGCCACTAAACAAATTGAGCAAGTAATCACGGAGGATAATACGACAGTGTGGACATATACGAATCTAATTAGACTCTGAGCTAGAGCTTGCTAAGACGCGTGACAAGTCACCCCGGAAAAGAAGACACAAACCCAAAAGTTGGTGGGATGAGGAAGTTAAGAGAGCCATAGCAAAACGTCAGGAAGCCTTTAGGGAACACAGACATGATTTTAGGGAACACAGACACAGGCAGATGAGGTTAGATTTTAGATTTAGTAAGGAAAAATCAGCAGTCATGATTTTCAATGACAACGAAGGTAGTGAGCTTAGAATACAGGAGGTCACGCTAGATCGAGATAACAGATAAATACAAATATCTGGGCGTATGGATAAGCAATGGGACCGAGTACCTGAGGGAACACGAAATATACGTGACGACTAAAGGTAACAGGAATGCAGCAGTGATGAAAAACAGGGCACTGTGCAATTACAATAGGTATGATGTTGTGAGAGGAATATGGAAAGGGGTCATGGTTCCTGGGCTGACGTTCGGCAATGCGGTCTTGTGCATGAGATCAGAAGTTCAAGCAAGATTAGAAATTAAGCAACGTGGAATAGGTAGGCTTGCTTTAGGAGCTCACGGGAATACACCAAATCGGGGAGCACAAGGTGATATGGGGTGGACATCATTTGAGGGCAGGGAAGCTAGCAGCAAGATAAAATTTGAGAAGCGATTGAGAGAAAGGGGGGAGGAGCGTTGGCCTAGGAAGGTTTTCAGCTACTTGTACATGAAGAATGAATAGCGATACAAAATGGAGGAAGCGAACCAGGAAATTGACTGGTAAATACTTGGAAAACAGCAGGTGGCCAAACCAAAAAGAACTATCGGTTAAGAAGAAAGTGAAGGAAATGGAGACTGACATGTGGAGAATGTGCATGATTAAGAAGCCCACACTAGAAATCTATCGAACTTTTAAGTCGAAAATTACCAAGGAAAGGATCTATGATAATACTCGGGGTAGTTCCCTATTGTTTGAGGCCTGGACGGGAGTACTGCGAACCAAGACATATCGGGCCAAATACGAAGGGTAGACACGGTATGCAGTGCATGCGGAGAGGAAGAAGAAACTGCCGAACACTTGATAATGTTCTGTAAAGGGCTTCACCCTATAGTTCAGGATGATGGCGCAGAGTTTTTCAAAGCACTGGGGTTTAGGGACCGGGAGGGCAAAATAGACTTTAAGCGGGTAGACTTAACTAGAAGGAGGTTATCTGATTGGTGGTTAAAGTCAAGGCACGAGTGAAAATTAAACCCTTCACTGCAAAGTACGAATCCTCAAACTCACTTTTTAAAGAAAAAAAAAATAAACCTAGTTTTTGGTTCATTAAGTATTACGGCTTGGTGGCGCTAGCCACTGCTCGATTTAAAGGGTACAGCCATAAGCATTCATCCATCCATTATCACGGCGACAGGCGAGTACGCGGTACCAGTTGAGCGGTAACTTAAGTGTGGCAGCTTGGGCTAGTTGGTATGGCATGACGATAGTTCTGTGTCGTCGTTTTGTTCTCGCGCTATAACTATCGTCATACCAGCTGAGCGTTTTTCATCTGCGGCCCCTAGGGGCGCGTCAGTCGAAAGTTATTAGAGACCTGCAACCACGGAGGAAGGAAAGGAAACCTTTTTCCTTGCTCCGTGCCTGCAACTGTGCACCACTGTTTCGGAGGCTATGCAAAGTGTTGCGTTGTTGCACCGTCCGTCACAAGTAACGCTAGCGACCGAGAACATTTTCAAAATAAAGGAGAGAAAGAGTGTGGCAGCTGTTTTTTTTCTCATGTGGCAGGCATCTTCCTAGAGGAGGCGTTGACTCAGCAAACGCATACTCAGTGCGAGTCATATAAAACAGGCCGTCGCCTATTCGTCGATTGCAACGATGCTTGTCGAGCTTCAAAAAAAAAAAAAACAATAATAACATTAAAACTTCATTACGCGTGAGGTTTTGTCTGCGAAAAAGCAAGCAAGCGACAAAACATTTTTTTTATAGTTTTCAACGACGTTTCATTGGAACCACAGAACACAAAGCTGAACAAAGCGTGGACAATGTTGTAATAGACGTTGGCGTGGAACAAAGTCGTATGGGCGCCCACAAACAATGAGAAAGTGAAGATGGCGGCGCCCTGTGCGAAATGCGGCGAAATGGAAACGAGAGTTCTGTCGTCAAGCTGGCGTGCATAGGTAGGTGTTCTCTGTTTAGAATAGGCTATGGTGTGAGTACAACTCGGTGATGAAAAATACGTGCTTCATTTTCTTCCACAACAAAGTTGACAGAGCTTCGTGGAGAGCCAACAATCATGGCAATCGAGCCCCTCGTAATGCTCAGCGGCAGGAAAGACAACGACAGATCGCTTCTGCGTGTACCGCAAAACACACTCGTCGCTTTGTTCACGTTCGCCTACTGTGAGATAGAAGACCTGCGTATCGTCTTAGTGCCACGCGAGCCAGCCAGCGATGGCGGTAGTGACTGTAACGACAATCCACTCTTCGATTTGCCTCGCAGCGTTCTTTCGAAACTCAAGTGCTTCGAGACTAGCGACGGCTCACTTACGCCGCAAGAACTACTCGACTGCGAACCTCCGGCTGTCTATCTACCCGACAATACTACCGCGACTTGCATCGGCGGGCTCACGGGTGTCCTCCGATGGGCGCTGGGTCAGTTGGGGAGTAGAACCCGGGACCGCGAGTGCAATGCACTGCTGGGTTTCCGCGGCGGTTGCCTCGCAGCCTGCTCCGAGTCTTCTCTCTGGACTCGCTTCTGCGAACTGGACATACAGAGAGCCCTTCCGAAGCTTCGGAAGCGCGTCTCTGCTGGTAGCGGGTTCGAATCTCCGCCGCTGAAGCTTCCCGAAGAACTTCACCTTCTCGAGGCCCACATGCGACAGCCTGTGAAGACGCACAATGTCCGGAGGAAACAGCAGCAAGTGTTTCGGGCGTCACGTCGTGAAGGAGGCGGCTCGCCCGTGGAGCATAAGCCGGTTGATGGAAAACTGCCTCTACTGGAACACAGATTCGTCGAGGGTTTCGACCAGACACTGGCCGACGTAGTGCTTTTTCCCGTCCTTCACCTCATATTCACCGAGTTGGCAGCTGTTACGAGTAAGAAGGCAATATCCGTAAGGCTACCTCTCACTTTCAAGTGGTACGAAACGATGTCTGCACAGATACAGACTCACCGTGCCTTGGAATCTTTGGAACTGAAGCACATCGAGCAGGTCGAGTGAGAAGAGTGCAGCAGGTTCATAGAAGAGTTCGAGCTCCCGAAGGACAGCCTCTACTCGTCTCATCCAGAATGCACAAAGCCTCGTATTCGGCACAAGAACCCAGAGTCCATCATTAACTCCCTCAGGGAGGCCCACATATCGCCAGACTTGAAGCCGAACCACAGCAAAGACTCCCTTCCCCTTCCCTGGGAGGAGTTTCCAGAAAAAGTGCACCCCCTTGGTGGAGGTCTTCCAAAAAACACGGTCCTGCGCAAGTGTCAGCAGATTGAGAACCTCTAGTGTTGGCTCTTCAAAATGCCTTTGATGGCTGCACGATTGTAGACTTCTGTTCAGGAGGAGGCCACGTGGGCATTGTCCTGGCTTACCTGCTACCGGAATGCCGGATCGTAATGATTGAAAACAAGGAAGAGTCGATGCATCGTGCTCGGGAGAGGGTGAAGTCTCTGGGCCTGCGAAATGTTGTCTTTTATCAAAGCAATATAAACTACTACGTGGGTAATTTTGACTTGGGAGTCTCTCTGCATGCTTGCGGCGTTGCCACGGACTTGGTCTTGCAGAAGTGCATCGAACGCAATGCGGCGTTCGTGTCGTGTCCCTGTTGCTACGGTGCCATGAAAGTGACAGATCGAATCAGCTATCCCCTCAGTCGTGCTTTTAGGGATACGGGCATCTCGAAGGAGGACTACACGTTGCTGTGCCACTACGCTGACCGAACTGAGCGTGACACGCCTACATGCCAGCAGGGCCATTATTGCATGGCTCTGGTAGACAGAGACCGGGCTATGTGTGCGGCCGAGAGTGGCTACGAAGTAATTGTGACGCAGATGGTACCGCATGATTGCTCGCCCAAGGGACTCGTTTTAGTTGGCAAACGGACATCTAAAATCACTCTCTCATGCCCTATAAAACGACTGAGGAATTTTTCACACAAGCCGGGCACACGCTCGGGAGTCCACAGAACTTCGTCTCCTGGGGAAAAGGTGACAGCACGGTGTGTTGAGTCATAGCGAGACTTGCGAGCTTCCTGAGAAATGCCGGTGTTGATTCGGGCCATATGACGGCAGTGCTCGAGGCGAGACAAAAATTGTGTGGATAAAGGGCTTGCTGAGGTATCAGGAGCCGAAAGGAAGAAGACGTCCAGAGTTACACTTGGAGAGCGGCCATGGACCAGAAAATAGGGAGAAAAGCCGGTGGTGCGTTGCGTAGCTGTATTGTAGGCGAACGTTACGAATGGAATTACAGCGCGACGTGCCGGAATTGTCACGTCGCGCCGAGCTGTGAAGCAACGACGTTCCTTGTGGTTGGAAAGCACGCTTGTTTTGCTGGTAGTGAAAGTAGTAGCGATTCGCCCTACCCGAAAACAAGCCCGTGCTCTGCGAGGGAAACTTCGAGGTAAGATCCAGTTTGTGCCCGGGGTTCGCGTATGCATGTTTTTTTTTTTTCTATAGCAGCTGCCGAGAAACGAAAACGAGCTCATTGCGACCTCCCCCACAGCGACGCTTCAACCCCCCCCCCCCCCCCCCAATCGTGTAGAAAGATCGCTGTCGTGCGTCATATGATATAATTCCCTCCGTGAAAGAACGAAAAAACGAGAGACCTTGAACGGGTCGCATCGGCCTCGACGGTCGTTACGTGATTGACTCGATCGCCGTAGTACAAGCGGATTCGATTCCCACCATAGTTGACAAGCGGGCTAGCGGGGGCCGCGCGCTGATCGCCTCGTTTCTTTTCGGCACACAACCTACATTTCTCTCTTTCATTTTTCTCCCTTGTATCTTTCTCACTCCCGGATGGTGAGCACGTGTGCCCATTTCCGACTTTTACTTCCTGTGAGTGTTATATAGAAATAGCTTGGCGCGCGCCTCAGGTGTCTGTGCGCTCCGTTGCGGTGCGTGCGGCCTAGGTACCGAGGAAAGTAAAATAGTAAAAACAAACAAAAGAAAGCACCCGGGACGACGACGACGAATGGTCTCGTTAGGGTGGCTAGTCCCGTTTACGGCCCCCGACCCTTATAACTACTCCTTGGCCTGGCAAACACGTATGTATAGGTGTGCAAGTGTCGTGTGGTGCTACAATGCCTAGAATCTACTGCAGTGGTACGCCGCCCACTTCGCCAACCGAAACGCTAAACGGAATGCATGCTTAACTGGGGGAAACGCAGCGCAAAAAGACGCCAAGACCCAGGAAACGCGGTGCACCGTACTATGCCCTACCTGTGCACCTTGCTTCGTCTTTTTGCGCTGCGTTTTCCCAGCTGAGCATGTGCCAACTCGTCCAAATCAGTCTTGAACGGAATCGAGTCCTTCTAGACAGTTTTGCGCACCGCCGCCCAGTCGCGCGACCTTCTGCGACGAATGCTTGTATGTCGCGTTCGTAAACTTCGATTAGACGACCCCCCCCCCCCCCTTTTTTTTTTATTCCCACTCTGAAGGAATGTAGCACGTATATGTGGTTTGTTCAACAAGCGCTTGACTGCGGCACCGCTGGCGAGAAACAACAAACAAAGCGAGACCAGGGTGGGAAGCTGTTCGACCGCGTCTACGTGCAAGCGGCGCAGACGTTCGCCTGCTCGTTGCTTCTGCAGCCAACAACTGCCTGGTGGAGGACGTTTGCTAGCTCGGCGCGCGTGCATGTAAAGCCGGGAAGTTCGACCTTGCCGGCGCTGTCCGACGACGTGGGTTCGGGACTGTCGAAATCCGGGGCCTGCTTGAAATGTCGATATCTGCGTACCTGTCTTCGTCGTCTTCGTCATCTTCGCCTTGTTATTAATTGCACAAACTGCGGGGCGTCCCCCCCCTCCCCCAATTTTTTTTTTTTGTTCCTTGAATGTCGGCGGTTGAGCTGTGGATTAGTCCCTGACCACCAAGTGCACCTCTGTGTTTTTTTCGGATATGCTGATCCTGCCAACTATGATGGTTTTGGGACGTTAAACCCCACATATCAATCAATCAATCTGCCAACTATGACCTTTAGTTGGGCAAATAGTCGGCTGTCAAAAGTCAAGCAAACCTAAGCGCTAGCCACGTATCGGATAGTCGGCTGTAAGGACAAAAACAACAAGAGAGAAGGCAGGGAGTGGGCCTTAGAAGCTTGAACAGACCAAGGTACTAGCCAGGTATGGATGTAGTAACTTATGTCAGTGTGTCGCATAAGCACAAATCGTAACACCAGGCACATTTAGATGTTGTAACTCACGTATGTCACATGAGCAACAGAACGATGCCATTCTGGAAGCAGCTGCCACACGTCCACATGTAAATTTGCTAGATGCAGCGAGAGTCTGAGTTGTGTACTAACATTGCTTTCATTACATTAGCACATTTATACAAGAGAGACTGCATTGTTGCTGGTATGGGAGCATCTATGAAGCATATTTGTTAGGCACATGCGAATTGCTGAAAGACTTGAGCTGTATACAGTTTAATTAATAAATAAAAATTACTTGTGCCCTGAATGCAAATGCAAGCTTGCTTATGCAACCGTGGTATGTTTACCCACAAGTCAGTGCCAGTACGTGCCCCTCTGTATACATAAATCTTTCTACACAATACACGTGCTCTTATTTAACTCCATTGTGCTGGTTGAAGGTAAAAAACCTGGAGGCACTGTGCCGACCAAAGTAAAAGTTTATTTGTGCTGAGTGTAATGTGCTGTACTGCTGAGTGTAATGTGCATTGTGCTGAGTGTAATGGGAACATGCACTGCTGTGTCTTAAAAGAACACAGACTTGTCAATTGAACATGCTCAACAATTAAAAAAATTCTTAAGCCATAATTATGCGGAAGGTGTGTTCTTGTTAGGGTGTGTGCCTCTGTAACACAAGAGGTTCAAAATAGTTTTTTCCTTTATGCAAAAAGAGAACACCACCACAGAGATGCTGCTACTCTCAACTCGACTTTTCAGACTAGTGCCTTCTTCTGTCTCAATTTCTTGTGCTGTCTTTTTGCACTATAAAAGAATGTTATTGCTACTAACTTGCCCATCAGTATTGCTGCAAATGTGTTGCCTGTCCGTGTCTGTAAGCATGCATCATACATGACTGTGTTTCCACTTAGACACTGCTTGTGACCTACTATATAAATCCAAAACCTATACTAGAACAAATGTAAGCACTGTAGGAGATCTCACGTTACATGTAACTGAAATAAAATGGAGTCACACTCATTGCCAATAATTGCAAAGCACTGGGCTGCTTCAGACAAGTGCGCTAGATCTGCTTATTTTCTTAAGACAAAACAAACTTGTACGATGTTTTTGAAGTTCAATGAGCTTAGCATAATGCTGAAAAGTGTATTATTACTGAAAAGCGGTTAAGGCCGCTGCATAAACTGAAACCTGCTAATTGATTTCATATTGGTTTCTTTCTTTTATATTCAAATTTACTTGTCTCAGTCTTAGTTTCAGAATAAGTTGGCTGCTGAGTATGGCTGCAGAAAGCCGGGTAAAATTTGTCTTACTGAGTTAGCTATTGCTACCAATGAAACATGTCATGACAACATTAAAGCCTATAATTTATTATTTTAAATTATCAACTAGCTGATGCCAGATAGACCATGATGCCTGCATGCCCTATTGTTGCGGCCATGCAGTTTTCTTTAAAAAGTAAGTTATACGGTGATGGTGTTAAATTAAGTGCATGCACTTGCCAGGAAAAATTTTGTGGGATGTGCATATCTGGGCAGGTATTTTAGGTCTGAAAAGAATTGTTTCATGGACTCCTTCAGCTCAATATCTTGTTCATTTTTCAAAACGTGTTTTTCAAAACTATCGATGTACAAAGCTGCAAGGCCGCTTGCATTCAAAATTATTACAGATATTCATTGTGCTAAACTCGTTACACTCTTACTGGCTGGGGAACTGCAGCCAAAATAAGCATGCATCTCTCCCCTGTGGTACCTCCTACATTGTTAGTTTTTGAACATTAAATACCACAAATCAGGAAGTCAATCAATCAACCGGTCTCTGTCGACCTGTTGACTGGGTAACAATATGCTGTTGCCTATATGCCGTACTGCGAGGATGCAAGTTGAGCACCGAGGTTCCTGTCAAGGGCACTTCAGTTTGCGACAAGAATGTTATCTGGCCATCATAATGTAACGAGTGTTGAATAGCCTATTTATTTATTTTTCTGATTCGACTTGTTAAAAAACAATGCTTGTTTTTTTTTTTGTCTGACCTTCTTTTAAGGTTCAGCGCCTGCTCCCCTGAATTCCTCTAATTTTAGTTGTCAGGATGTGCATCAGCATTGTGGCAGCCCAATCTGGCAATATGGTAGTGCTGAAGCGTTGCAGCCTGTTTACTCTGCAGGCAAAGGACAAAAGCCTGGCTCGTGAGGTAGCTTGGGCTTATCCCAGACTGTATCAGTAGCAATATTTGCTTCTTTTTTGTGCCTTCTCAACTTATCTTTCTAGTCTATGGCAACAGTGGGAGGGAGATAGCACAGCCACTGGTAAAATCAGCCATATTTCTGAAGCTGTCATGCTTGTCAGTTGTACAGGAGCTTGCAGAGGTGTTGAAATGTCAGTCTTTCTTTATTTTCCTCACTGCCACTACCTCTTTGTCTTCACATGTTATTCGCTATTGTGGAAGGAATATGTCTCATATTTTGACTGACTATGGTACATCTGTGTGAGACGACGGAAAAAAAGAAGAATGCTGGTATGTGTTCATGTTGAAGATATGCAAGCCTTACAGATGAGCACAGAGAAGGGAAAATGTCACGCAATCTCTGATAGTTAGAAAAAAGGGGAATCGCTCAAGGGGCATATTTTTTTTCTTTCGGAGACTTAATTGGTAGAGCATTGTGTGCGTAATTCAAAGGTTCTGGATTTAAATCCCACAGGGGAAAGAGTGATGTTCTGTCCACTTTAATCCATTTCATTGTATGCAAAAATCACTACACTGCAATTAAAAAAAGAAACAAGTAATGTCCCTTTGCTTTTCTTGGCTTATTTTTCTGCTGGTATCTCAAGCACTGATAGTTGGTATGCGTATACTGAAACTCCCTTGCATGTGGCAGTATTGGTAGTTAGGTACGGCTTGTTCTACCTAATTTTTCCTGTGGTTAGATTATCTCTGAGCGCTACTTGAGTCTTGGCTGTTGTGTCATTCAAGCTTTGTGACCTATTTGTGCAGGGGCATGGTGGTGACTTCGGAGAACCCGAAAGGGGCGTCGGCCTCTTCGAGCAACGACGAAGGCGGCAGCACGAGCGGCCAGCAGGATGGCAGCTTTGAGTGCAACATATGCCTAGACACGGCCAAGGATGCCGTAGTCAGTCTCTGTGGCCACCTGTTCTGGTAAGTGCCTGTTTGTACAAAGTGCGAAATTCCTATGAACCTGTACATGTTGTTTGTGTTGTGAAATGTCATCTTATTAATCTTCGGAGATGTCGAACTTTTCAGGTGTATGCAGTCATTACAGGCGGGCGCTGTCCTCTCAACGGGGGGGGGGAGGTAGTTGCCTAAAGTTGCACGGGAGAGGGGGGCGTGGTCATGACTTTGTTTGTACTAGGAGAAAAACCTCTTTGCAGCATAAATACTGTTAATGTGTGCCCATAGTGGTTTCACTAATTTGTCCTAATTGGTGACAGGAGGTGGACTAGATGCAATAAAGTGAGGTGGGCGGGGGTGCTGACAAAGAGTTTAAGGAGGGGCGATCGCCCCTACTGCCCCCCTTTTGGATCTGCCACTGCACTCTGCAGTAAAAGTTTGCAGGCTACAAAATATTCAAGGAAGTTATTGTCACTTTGTATGGAAATATATCCTCCAAATAAATGATCCAGGCTGTAGTTGGCATTACAACCTATGCAGTCGCCAGCTGTATTAGAAGCTGAAGAATACAGCAGCGCTTAAGTGCGAGGCTAGATGAAGACACAGACACACAAAAAGACCTCTATGTCTTCATCTTGTCCCATCTCATGCACTGTCTTATTCTTAATCTATTATGCACCAACAATCCAATCAAGCAGAAGAGTCGCACCCTAATAGAGAAGGAGTTTCCATTTGTTGTAGAGCCAACATCCTGTAAACATTTGCTATTGGGTGTTCTTGTCACAAATGCACGTGTGTAGTTTAGTTCAATGTCACGATTTTCGTGAGGGAGTGTTCTGAGCAGCAGCAGCACGGCAAAGGAGAATGTTTTTGTGAAGTTTAACTAAGCAATTCTTTGCCAAACGTCATCGACCAACAATTGGTGTCGGGCAGTGATGGCCCATACATTTGGAGGAGAAAGACCACCGCAATATTTTCATGTGCCTGCAGTAGTATTGGGAAGTTGGCATAGATGGAAGGCAATGTCAATGTCACGTCCTATGAAAACCATCTACAAGTTTCAAACGAAGAGCTGTGATTGACTTAGAATAAAGTACTCTTCTAGTCTCTCGCCTGATGATAGCTTCCTATTTTATTGGGCATTCTCGCGTCTTGTTGAAAAAGGTAATTGGAGAGAGCATCTGCAAAGTTTTCCCACGATGCAGTGAACGTGCAATCTCCGTGGCGCTGACTGCTTGGTTCACCAGGTTCGCCTGTACAGCTGCAGTGCAGGGTGCTTCGTTACGCTGCAATCACACCGCAGAGTTGCGGATAACTAAGCATTAGAATCATTGCTTCTTTTTCGAGTTGCCACCTATGCATAAAAATTTTTAGATATCCAAAAAGTAGGAGCCTTGCTGAATCGCATTAGGTAAATGCTGCTCATCACTTCAGAAGTAGCGGAAATACAGGTTACATTGATTACATAGTCTCTGCAAGAAAAAAACTGAGCTAGAGGCTCTTTTTTAATTGTAGTTTTCTGCATTCGATTTCAAATGAGGCTTAGTAATTAATGATGATGATGGCTCTGTATTTTCATAGAGAAGTAATTAAATTAAGATTATCATATTAGAGCATGCAGCAAAGGCATGGAAAATCAAAGCACGAAATCAGCCAGAACGAGTGAGCAAGCTTATCTTGTACTGCAAGATATGAAGGGTCATATAGTACTCACTAATAGAGATATCAGGCTTTCCAATCTATGGCATTCTACACAGATCACAAAAGCCCAACACGGTTCTGTAATTGTACGGACACTTTGATAAACAAAACGCACAAATAATATATTAGATATGTGCATACAGACCTTGAAGATTAGCATCATTCTCCAATCAGATAAAGTCTTCTTACATGTAGCCTAAGGCATCAGATAATATGTGCATGTACAGTGAAACCTCGATTATACGACTTTCAGGGGACCACGCAAAACCGTCGTATAATGCGGGCGTCGTATAATCCAAAAACTAAGGATATATAAGCAGTGACGATCATTGCTGCCCCACAACAGTCAGTACATAATGCCTGAGCAAGTCCGCAACGCAATACGGCGATACTCCGGTAAACGTAGATTAAATTACTTGAAAAAATGACAACCACGCATTTTATCGGAGGCGTGAACGAACCTTTATTCTCACCTCTTAAAAAAATCTGTAATTTTTTTCTGCGAGTTGGCCCAGCCACGACGCATCAGTTTCCTTTCGAGAGCTGCGACATCTTGCAGCAAGTCGCCGACCTCGTCGTATGCGCACGCAAACCGCCGAATGTTGTCGACGTAATCCAACACGTCCGTGTAAGTCGGTACGGAAGCGCTTGCCTCTGCGGTATCGTCCATCTCTTCTTCGTCGGAAGTTTCCGCAGAGTCGGGACGCACAGTTTCAATAATGTCATCCAGCGACACTGCACTGCACACAGCGACATCGTCGTCGGCACCAACATAGTCCGCGAACGATCCAGGCAGCTCCAGGCGCCCAAACTCGGGTTCGTCATCATCAAGCACTGCAGCCTCACTGAAACAGCCGCCACTTCTCGTAAAACCGCAGTGTCTGAAGGAGTTGGCGATAGTTTCCTGCGTGACCGCGTCCCATGCACTAGCGATGTAGTGCATTGCATCGAGCACAGAGAGCTTCGTGGCCATCTGCTTGCGTTCCATGCCCGCTAGCCGACGCTGAACCAGAAACTTCCTGTATTTCTGCTTCATGCATTTGATGACGCCGGCGTCAAGTGGCTGCAGCTGACTTGTGCAATTCGGGGGCAGAAATGCGACTTTTACATTCCTCAAATGCGACGTATCCGTTGGATGGCACGGCGCATTGTCCAGCAGAAGAAGAATTTTTCTGTCTTTAGCCCCCATTCTCGAGTCTAGCTGCTGCAGATATGCAGCAAACTTGGCAGCAGTCATCCAGGCTTTGCGGTTAAACGTGTATTGGCACGGCAGCCTTTTCAAATTTTTGAAGCATCGCGGCTTCTCAAACTTGCCAATCACGAGGGCAGGAAGCTTTTCCGAGCCGTCTTCATTAGCGCAAAGCAACACAGTAAGACGCTCTTTGCTCCGCTTACCGCCGTGACAACCCTCTCCTTTGAACGTCAAAGTCTGGTCTGGCTGCATATTGTAAAATAATCCAGTTTCGTCTGCGTTGAATACGTCGCAAGGCTTGTACTGCCGTATCAGTTCCGGCAGCAATGCGGTCCATTGTTCAACAGTGGAGGAGCTGACAGACGAGCTCTCTCCGCAGCAGCGGCTGTAAACAACTCCATTTCGTTTTTTAAAACGATCTAACCAGCCGTTGGAGGCTTTAAAGTCGTCAATGCCGCAGCGCAACGCAATCATGTCTGCCTTCTCCTTCAAAATTGCGCCATCCACGGCAATAGCTGCACTGCGTGCCTGACGCAACCACTCTACGAGGGCCTTCTCCATGGCAGCGTATTTGCCATCTTTCGCGGCCTTCCTGTTCAGGCCGAACTTTGACGCATTCAGCAGGATGCTGTCCTTCTTCGCGAGGATCGTTTTCAGCGACGACTCGGGAATGTTCAGGTCGCGGGCAATGCTGGCCTTTGTTGATCCGGTCCGCTTCTCCGCCTCCTCAATAACTCGAAGCTTTTCGCCGAGCGTCAGCGGTTTTCGGTTTCGCGACATCGCGAGACGCAGAAGTCACAACCAAGAGTACTAATGTCAGAATGCACAAATGTGGCACGTGGACTCAGCAGCTGCGGCGCACAATCTATCAACGATGCACACACGTGAAGGAATGGCCACAGAACACCCACCAGTTTGAATGGCAAAATGGCAGTGGGCCTATTCAATTTTTGCAAGCGCATACCTCAGCGCAAGCTTTGACCAATCGCGTGTGGTTAAAACGCCCCAGCCCTCTAGTAGATAAACACCATGGCCGGTTCCCGTGGCTGTCAACAATCGCCGATCAACATGTCTGGTGCAACCCGTGCAACAATGCGAAATCTAGTGAACGTTATCGCACGCTCGAAAGTGATCGCGAAATTATCTGCCTTGTTACCTGCTCAATCACTCCCGAACCACAAAAAAAAAGAGGGGGAAAGAAAAACAAAACAAGACCGCAACAAAAGTGCGCAGTGCACTGCGACAAAATGAATGCGCTCCGGCTGGCTTTGGCCGACGTTGGCTTTGGCTAGCTAGCCTAGGCCGACCGCGACTGCGTTGCGTGCCGAAAAATTGAAGCGGCTCCGTGAATGCAGCGCCGCGGAAAGAGAATGCAGCATGGAATGCAGAAACGAGCTCGGTTTCTCGACTTTAATCCGGCCGCGCTGCCGGAGTGTGCCTGCGTGGCAGTCTGCGTCGTCGTCTCTGTTTTTTTTTTACTCGGTCAGTCCAGGGAAGCGTCGTACGAGGCGGGGCCGGCGTAAAATTGTGTCGTACAATTGAGGTTTTTAATACATTGCTTCTATGGGAGTTTTGCCGGGACCGAGCCAATTCGTCGTAAAACACGGGTCGTCGTAGGACCGGGGGACGTATAATCGAAGTTCCACTGTAGTTACAAGCAGCAAACGCAAGCTGTACTTCACAAAACTGGCATAGGTGAGAATAAGTACACAAGATAATGTACCGTGCCCTGCGCAGTGTCACTAAGCACTTTCACTATCTGCATAGACAATAAGACCTCATTGTGACAGGTAGCACATGGATGTGCATAAAGGGTAGCAACACTATTAAACACCGGTTAAGCGATTCGGATTGATTTATTGATTGACTTGCCAGAGCAATGTTGGTACTGTGAGAGATGCTGTGACCACTTATGATTGTCCAATGTAAACTGGAACCGGAAGACAAGAAAATTTTTGCCCCCATTGAAATCTAGCTGCCATAACAGGAAGCTGAACACAACCATGATAGTCTGTTAGCCTCTGAGCCATTGTTGCAGGCCACTTTTTATGTTTTCATCTGCCTTGGAGGCTTGTATGCATTTTCAGTACAGCATGAGGCTTATGCAACATTGCAGTGAGACATTGGCACATAGGCACTCCTGTTCTGCATTGTGGTCAAGATAGTTGTGTTGTAACTTTTGCTACTCAACACACTCTTTTTGTGTTGAAATTCAAGAGTGAAATGAGATTGGGACTTGAATAGAAAAGATAGTCATGAACCCTCCCCCCCCCCCCCCCCAAACAAAGTTGAAATTGCTGGCCGAGTGGAGGGGGGATGCAATCTCGGAAAGGCACTGAAATTCAAAAATTCAGCAAAATTTTCGTGCCAGAAATTAAAATTTCATTACAGTGAACTATATTACAATAAGCAGGGCCCAGGATTTGTAGCCTTTAATCGCTTTCAACACCAAAAGACTCCTCCGAGTCAGTTGCAAAAAAATGTCGCAGCATTTCACAAGCAGCTAGGTGAACCGTGAAGTCATGCTGAGAACATCCAGTGTTCGCACAATCCATATGGTGTCCTGTTGGCGGGGTGGTCTTTTTGCACCATCTTCTGATCCTTATTGGCCATGTTATATAAGGTAAAACAATTCCGCTGTCACAGTGAGCTCGTGCAAGATCGTTGCAGATCTGACCGCTGGCGTGGTAAGTTGCTTCGCAGCTGCTGGGAATTGAGGGCCGTGAGTTAATTGACGTATGCATGTGGAAGGTAGTGGCCAGAGACTGCACCAGGAGGGCCAATCCATCTCTGGTGAGACCCCCCCCCACCCCCCGTTAGCTCGTGTCCGCGGTGTCGCTACACACCAACCGCCTGCTTACGCAGACGCCGCCGCGTGTAGACTATGGTATTTAATAAACCCTGGAGATTTTGGAATGTAATATAGGCCATATTTACGTCCTGATGCATCTGAACGTTGACTAGCTATCTTATTATAAAAGCGTTCTCATCTGTTTTCACTCTTGAAATGGTTACTCCTTTTGGAGTCTTTAGATTATTTCATGATTTCTTTATTCTATGCAATAAATTTGAAGTCATCAGTAAAGATGGTATTTTTTCTTTATTTACAAACAATAAAGATGATGAAAGTATGGATGGCCTTGTTTTTAGCAACGATGTATTAAAAAATATATTTGGGAGTATTTTTGAAGCCTTCACTGCACTTTTTTATTGATCATTATCCTTTTGCTGCATTCCTCATGACTGGTATGAAGCCAAGTTATGCAATGTTATAATCAGGCGCCTGCCCTGATTCTCTAAACTACAGACCCATTCCTTTAACTTACACCTTTTCCAAGCTCCTTGAAGGCATCATTCAAGCTCAAATAATTATTTCATAGATTACATCATGTTTAAATAGCACAGTTTCTGTAAGGAATTTCCTTGTGACCATCAGCTGACATAATTTACTCATGGCTTATTAATAGACACTGGCATTTAAGTTGAAACCTTGTTTCCCAGTTTTTTCGGTGCACTGATTGGGTCTCCGATTATAGGCCCGTATTCACTAACCATCCTCGGTGTTACCTCAAGTTTTTGTTATCGGTTGTAAGCCTTTATTGCACTTGATGTACGAAGTTGGCCAATATTCGTGAACCAGTCTTGTAGTTTTTTACCTCCTTACCATTTTTGTGCCTTTATAACACATGTAGAGGGTACAGAAGCTTGAGGAGAACTCGAGGAAAGGCAAAGGTTGGTTTGTGAATACGGGCCATAGACTCTGTAGTTAACACAACTCAACATTCACAAACACATCTTAGTATACAAGGGTTCCTCTGATATCGCAGTCAATTCACCTTTTAATCTCTCTAACTCTTCGACGGCTCAAGTAACATCTGGCACTCTACAGGGAAGTTTCCTTGGTCCCCTGTTCTTTTCTAATATTTGTTATTATTTGCCTAAATGTATTTTTTCTCAAATTAGACTTTTTACTGATGACCACACTTGTAGTGTACTGAGCCATGAAAAGTAACTCTGGCTATCAGTTATTATAAAGCAACCTCTGTTCAATTACGACTTGGTGCTCATCATGGCTACGTTTCTAAATAAGTGTAAGGCTAAACTTGTCATGTTTACAAAAAGTTTCATGCTGCTTTCTGAACTTCACATGCTCCTAATGACATAAATGTTGATTTAGCTTCCACTAACAACTATTTAAATGTTCATGCTATGTTTTACCTGACATGGAACCATCATACATATTTCGCTTTGTAGTTGCCACTACCTCTTTGCCTCTTAAATTGTAATCTACAACATGCTTCTGCACAGGTGCATAAACTCACCCACTTTACTTCAATTCACCCTGAAATATAGAGTATACTTCATAGATGTGGCACCTGGATTAGGCCTACATCATAAGTAACATCGATCTCTCCAGAAAAATGCAACAGATTTTATTTTTTTTCCGATTACTATCATTTCATTGGTGTGTCAGTCCTAAAGGCTTGTGCTGGTCGTGATAACCTTTACCATCATTGTACCCTAGCTTGTTTACCTCTTTTTTATAAAATATACTGCCACTCATTACTTCATTTTTTCCAATCATATTTCCACATCACCATCGTCCTTTCAAAATTAAACACATAGCTTGCCGTACTTCCAACTTTGCTAAATCATTCATCCCTAAAACCATTATCGAGTTGAACCGGCTGCCTTCTTATATTGCAACTGACATGAATACACTTAAATTTAATAAAGTTATTAAAAATATTACCCAATTGTCTGTCTCACTAGAGCCTTTCTATTTTCAGAACTGCATTTTTTGTACAGTATTTTGTTTGTTATGTCACACTTTTTTTAGGTGTTTGTTTGATGAGTATTGTTGTTCTGCTTTTTATTGATGCTACAGCTTATCTGTTTTTCCCTCCTCCTTATGTAATATATCCCTACAAGTAAGGGCCTTGAGGCGTTTCTTGCAATAAAATTAGTAAATGACAGTTCTAATGCACCAAAGTCCCCTTCCCTTTGAATCGAAACCCCTCTATAAAATTTTAGGCTGTTTAGTCATTGTCCATAAAGTTTGTGAATGTTTTTTTATTCCATTTTTAAGCCTGAAGAAAAAAATAGGAAGAAAATACTTTAGCCACAAAAAAATCATTTTTAATTCATGAGAAGCGCTTGCATGTATAGGCTAGTGCACATGTATGCGCTTATCTTTTCAGAGGTGGTGCCGCTTCAGTGGCTCATACAGTACTCGCCCAATAGATGCAGCATTGATTGATTCAGGCACCACGGTTGCATTTCTGTGGAACTGAAAACCTAGAGAACCACGTCAGGTTGAATACTAGAGCACAATAAAGAACCCACTGGGGTTCAAATTGTCTGGAGCCCTTCAATACACTATCTCGAAAAGGTCGTACTACTTTGTTAAACCTGTAAACCTAAATTTAGAGGCAAAGCTCAAAAGTAAATCATAACAGTACACTGATAAAGTCATGCAATAAAATTTGGACACAGCATGGTAGAGTTGACGTGTCAGAATTAATGGTGTGAAAGTATTTGAAAAGTGCAAGTAGTATTGCGCAGTACCATTCAATTTGGTCTTTTGTTTGAATAACTCTAGGGGAATGTTTTTTGATTGTTTAAAATTACAGCAAAATCTCAATAGTATCAAACAAACACCAGATAAAGGTATGATAAATATAATCCAAAATGCCAGAATTTGTTAGATATAGATAGCAATCACTTATACTTTTTAAGGAGAGTCAAGAGATATTTTAGGCGCATGCCAAAGTAGCTCC